ACCAAAAATAAGGAAATAAATAAATAGATAAAAAAGACTGTGGATGCAGCTCAGAGGTAAAGTGCCCCAGGTTTAATTCTCAGCACTACTACTACTACTACTAATATTAATAAAGAAAAAGAAATAAGTCAGTAGATAAGAGAAAGTAGAAGTCATACATGTTAATTAATAATTCAAAATATGATTATTGTATTTTTTGTGCACCTGAGGACTATTAGAAAAACTACATGAACACACACATTCATACCTCATGGACAATCCTCCTGTCTACAGTGTCAGAGAGGGAACTAAAATTGCTACATCAGCCTATACCTATGGAGGGCTTTTCTGTGTAGAATAATGTCAGGATGCAGATAATTTAAATAGTTATCATATGTCTGACCTGATGCTTGGTGAGATCAGGTAAGGCAGTAGTAGCCCCAACAAAATACACCAACATTCTACTATCTAAATTTCTGCTCCATTTGGTAGTTTACAGAGTGCTTTCACAGCAGGTCACTTACTCAGAGTTGCATACTTGGATTCTTGAAACTGGGGCCAGGGCTTGCTTTATGTGTCTCTTAGAAGAATTTAATGTGCTCTGAGTATTGTCATACTTAATATTCACCAGACATTAAAGCTTTCCTAATCATTGAAATGGTACCAAGGCATAAAGAAATACATTCTGAGAAGTCAAATCCACTTTCAAAATGAAAATGATATATGAAAACTGTTCTCTTTTTGTTACCTGTTTGCGTAAGTGATTGCAATTCTGGCCCACTCTACTGAACATAAAGAAATTGCTAATTTTCAGGAACTTAGAATGTAATAAAATATAGTCAGTGCTAAAACTACTTTGAATATAATTTAATTCTTTTGGTGCATGACATATTTTTAGGAAATTGGGTGTTACACACACACAAAAAAATGAGTTTTCCAGACAACTGAAACCAAATTACTAGTGCCAAAATATTTTTAAAAAGAAAATTAGTAGGGCTTGGATTATGGTTCAGTGGTAGATCGCTTGTCTAGCATGTACAAGGCCCTGGGTTCCATCCTCAGCATCACATAAAAATAAATAAACAAAATAAAGGTATTGTGTTCAACTACTTCTAAAAAATAAATATTAAAAAAAGAAAATTAGTAGATGTGTGAGGCAAAAATTCTAAAAATTCAGAGAGTATAAAGAGTATAAAGTGAGAAGGAATAGTTGATCCTTTCTACTACCCAATTTCTACTACTAACAGTTTTTTATATTCTTCCAGTAAATTTTTCTGCTCATCCAGTTATTTATGTCATTTTTTCTTATTTTTTCAAAAATGGGATATTACATATACTATTCTATATTTTGTGTTTTCACTTACTATATTTGAGTCATCATTAGATAATAGCACATTAAAAAATCTAATTTATTCTTCTAAATTTCTACATAGTATTTTATATGGTTCATAATAGTTAATTTAATCAGTTCCCTGATGAAGAAAATGTGGATTGATCGAAACAAGACTTAAGTGATTATCTTTGTAAGTTTAACTTTGTGTACCTGTATATTTATACCAGGGAATAAATATACTTACATGGGGGAAACATGTGTTTAAAATTTGAATGGTTATGGTCAAATTGTCCTTTTCTAAAATAGTGCTTTCTCATCAGTTTTTTGAGTACAAATACTCCTAATCCTCACAATAGGGTATCTCCATGTTTTGTAGACTTGCATCTTATAATAAAAAATGAAGTGCTATATCTTTTTTTGTGTGTTCATTGGTCTCTTCTTCCTTCATTTATAAAATGCCTCCAAACTCAACATAGAACATTGAGAATATATTTTTACAGCTACATTTTCACAATTACTCTGCCTTCCAGGTGGACATTTAACAAATCATATTTTAGAACCTTGAGATTATATTTCTTTTTATCCCCTTTCTTTTTCTTGTACAATACATTGTTTCACCAAATATCTAACACTAAGTTGATGACATTTGGTTTTTCCTATTGGATTTAAGGAACAGTTGCACTTTACCCAGACTCTAATCTATTTTGAGCCTCATAGAAGTTTGGAAAATTCCTGAAGTGGAAAGTGTGTATGTGCGCACACACACACACACACACACATACACACACACACACACACACACACACACACACACACACACATACACATGGGGGTGGGTTGTGATAATTGACTACATTTTCTCCCAACTCTGTCAAAACAGTACATTACTCGCCTCCCACTTCTGAGAGAAATAACCTTGCAAATAAACTTGTACTTATGTATATAACTCCAAGTTTAGGGCTTATGCCTCTTTTTGTGGTCTATTCACATTCTCTTCTCTGGCTGTTTAGGAAGTGTCCAAGAAAAACAACAATGCTGGTATTTGGTCTGACAGTTGTGGCTCAGGGCATCAGGGGGACATAGAGCAGAATTCTTGCTGAGGAATATGATCCTCACTTGATTCTAATTTTATCTTTGTGATACAGCTTTTAAATATGAGAACAGCTGGTGTTGGATAAATCTGTCTTCACAAGCTGTATGAGATTGAAATAAAATTAAATATTTGAGGTTAAATTCAAATGCAAAGACATGGAAAGGACTGATTAATCTTTTGACATTTCACTTTCTGCATCTTGGTGAAAAGGCATTATTCGTTGTAAGCTCCTAGCAATAGTCCTGTTTGGAGCTTAAGATTAGTAGAATGTGTGCCCTAACTTAAAGTTGAACAGTTCATAAAAGGTAAAGTATGATTCTTGCTTTTCACCCCATCCTCCACCCCGCTGATAAAATGCTAGCCTATACATACCTGATTTTGTTAGCAACCTTTCTTTCTTTCTCTCTCTCTCCATTGAGTAAAAGGTTGCTACCAATGAAATTCTGAGGCCCTCACTTCCACTTGGGTTGGGATAAAAATCCTGTGTGGCCTCTGAAAGTTGGCAAATGATGGGACCCCAAACTCCCAGGAGAGTCTCCCCCAGGTGGCTAAATATCTTTCTAATTGTTAAGGAATAAATAAGGGAGTTGAGCTCAGAGGATAGTCAGGTTGCTGGCCCTTCTTCAGTTGACTGGATTACTAAGGTAGAAACGCACTAAAAATAAATCAGGGCACAAATTCTCCTGCCAGAAGTTGAGCATTGAGATAACTTGTCTGCCCAGAGGTGTTGACATCATCTATTCCCTTGATACACTGCAAATAGGAGGCAGAGTGAGGAACAGACTTGGCATGCTCTGGGGTCAGTGAGTCCACCGTCCTTGTCCTGTGATACCTACTGTTGTTCTTGGCCATGTTCAGTTAATTGGTCCCTGTACCTCCTCTAGGAGATGGTTAGGTCCAACAAAGTGAGAACTGGAAACCAAACTCGGGGCTAATCTCAGGGGAAATCACTTGGTCTCTCCTAGTTTCAAATATGTTTTTGCTGGATCTCTATGTCAGTTAGGTTTCAGTGTTTCCCTCAGGGGGTCAGATTCTACCAGAGCTGGAAATGTTGGAAGACGTCTCAAGAGCTCATTTCTCTGGAACCTGAAGATTTCACATTGATCCAAGTTGCCTCACATTGAGCGAGGAGTCTGATTAGTGGGTTTTTTTGTTTCTGTCGTTGCTTCAGATGTTCTCAACAGAAGCTTTGGCCAAGTCAGAATCTACAGCTCCCATTTGAACTAAAATGGGAGGAAACCCATGCAAATCCCTTCCTTCTTTACATCTGTCCTTGCTCTCTTTTAGTTATAGCAAGTTGTATTGAACTCAGATAATGCTTTCTCACCCTGATCGAGTGCTTGATACTCACAAAATGCTTTGACACATTTAGCCCGTGACCAGAACAAAGTCTGTAAGCAAGGGCAGATGTTCAGAAAAGCAGTCAGGTCTTGGCAGAGGTTCATTCTGAGAACCCCAGGAGCTCTGGGGTGTCATTCCAGTCTGACTGAGGGCTCTCTCTCTCTCTCTCTAAGTCAGGAGTGTTTGTTTTTATTTTTGTAAAATAATTTATTTAAATATTTCTACAAAAGAAAAAAAGAAAGAAAAACAAAAGAGCATTCTCATCATTAAAAAAAAAAAAACTTGGAAAATACAGAAGGAAGGGAAATGCAACCAAGATCCAGTTCACAAAACAAATCTCTGGGTTTCTTTAGTTTTTTTTTTTTCTTTCCCTAATTGAATCTGTGGGCTGGCAAGAAACATCAGTAGGTACTTACTCATGTTTCCATCCTTTCTCTGCAGTTACCATAATA